GAGTGTGTCCATGTACCCTCGTAGACCGAAAGCAGAAGCGTTAGGTTAACACGGTTGATGTAGTCGAACGTCTTCACGATCCAACCGATCAAGTACCGAACGTACGGCACCTCCGATTTCAGCATACGTTCAACTCGATGACGTCCCTCGAACTCTTGATCCAGCAAATTGTCGAGGGAGAGTTTCGTCAGCACGACGGCGTGATGACGGTGATGGTGATGTGATCTACGCAGGGCTTCGCCTAAGCACTACGTGAATACGATCGGAGGACTAAACCGTGGAGGGAGACACCGCACACGGCTTGGAACAATTGGTGTGTCTCCAAGGGGTGCCCTGCCCACATATATAAAAGAGGGAGAGGGAGGAGGCCGGCCAAGGGGCGCACCATAGGGGGGGTCCTACTAGGACTCCGAGTCCAAGTAGTATTCACCCCCCTATTATTCCTTCTCATGGAGAGGGAAAGAGGGAAGGAGAGGGAAGATGAGAAGGAAAGGGGGCGCCGCCCCCTCCCCTAGTCCAATTCGGACTCCCATGGGAGGAGGGCGCGGCCACCCCTTGTGGGCTGCCTCCTCTCTCCCCCATGGCCCATAGTGGCCCATTACTTTCCCCGGGGGTTCCGATAACCTCTTGGTACTCCGAAAAATACTCGAAACGATCCGGAACCATTGCGGTGTCCGAATACTATCGTCCAATAGATCAATCTTTACCTCTCGACCATTTTGAGACTCCTCTTCATGTCCGTGATCTCATCCGGGACTCCGAACAATCTTCAGTCACTAAAACACATAACTCATAATACAAATCGTCATCGAACGTTAAGCGTGCGGACCCTACGGGTTCGAGAACTATGTAGACATGACCGAGACATATCTTCGATCAATAACCAACAGCGGAACCTGGATGCTCATATTGGTTCCTACATATTCTACGGAGATCTTTATCGGTTAAACCACAATGACAACATACGTTATTCCCTTTGTCAACGGTATGTTACTTGCCCGAGATTTGACCGTCGGTATCTTTATACCTAGTTCAATCTCGTTATCGGCAAGTCTCTTTACTCGTTCCGTAATGCATCATCCCGTAACTAACTCATTAATCACATTGCTTGCAAGGCTTATTGTGATGTGCATTACCGGGAGGGCCCAGAGATACCTCTCCGATACTCGGAGTGACAAATCCTAATCTCGATCTATGCCAACCCAACAAACACCTTCAGAGACACCTGTAGAGCATCTTTATAATCATCCAGTTATGTTGTGACGTTTGATAGCACACAAGGTGTTCCTCCGGTATTCGGGAGTTGCATAATCTCATAGTCAAAGGAACATGTATAAGTCATGAAGAAAGCAATAGCAATAAAACTTAACGATCATTATGCTAAGTTAACGGATGGGTCTTTTCCATCACATCATTCTCCTAATGATGTGATCCCGTTCATTAAATGACAACACATGTCTATAGTCAGGAAACTTAACCATCTTTGATTAACGAGCTAGTCAAGTAGAGGCTTACTAGGGACACGGTGTTTTGTCTATGTATCCACAGATGTATCAAGTTTCTGGTTAATACAATTCTAGCATGAATAATAAACATTTATCATGATATATGGAAATATAAATAACAACTTTATTATTGCCTCTAGGGCATATTTTCCTTCAGATGCTGGGTACGGAGCTGCCTTTAGTTATTGAGATGAACAACAGCTCAGTGGCAAAGGCACTCGCCCCCTCATGTGTGGATTGATCGGAAATTGGAGTGACTACGAAGGAATTTCAAGTGATCAAGCAAGGAAATAGAGAAGTTAAAGTCTAAAAAGTAGATAAAAGGGTCAATAGTTAGGAGTGCGGTTTCTGCTCTCGAGCTCATCTACACCCCCCCCCCCTGAAAAAATCAAAACAAATACTAATAAAATTCAAAAAATTCCAATTTTTGCGTGGTAGATAAGTTTATGCGTGAGGTATGCTCCAAGTTCAACTCATTTGGACATCTGAGCAACTCTCAGCAAAAAAGACAAATTCAGGGCCTGTAAAAAGGTTTAATGTTCACACACTGTTGTGACATGATTTTTTTTGCTGAGAGCTGCTCAGATGTCTGAATAAGTTGAAATTTGGAGCGTACCTCACGCATAAAATTTTCTATCACACAAAGAAAATGGACTTTTCTAATATTTTTAGTACATGTTTTGATTTATTTTTTCTGACAGGGTGTAGATGAGCCCGGGCACCGAATTGGGTTGTCGCAATAGTTAGGTCATATTCTTGCCCAGCTTGAGCGTAAAGAGTTGACAAGTTGTGTGGTAGTGTTATGCAAGGGACAGTGCCAACCTACGTGTTGAGTGTCGCCTTGCAAGATTGTAAGAATTTTGTTTGCTCTTTTAATTAATACTACTCTCTATTTTTTTTAAAGATATGCAGTATTTGGTAAACACTTATTTATACAATCGCATTAATATGAGCAGATAAATCACGGTCAGAATTTAACAAATATTTATATACACAATCACATTTATATGGACAGGTAAATCTTGTGTAACATACTAAAATATTATGGCCTCTTTGATTCATAGGATTTTCAAAACGCAGGAATAGAAAAAACATGAGATTAGAGTGGCATGCCATCTTGAATCCTACAAGATTGTATGAGTGTTTGATTGTGCATAAGAGAAACGTAGGATTCTTTTAAAGAGGTTTGAGTGGATGGAAATTTTCCTATGAAATCTAATGTAAATGAATCCCATGGAAAAATTCCTATAGTTTACGATCCTATGAATCAAACAACCTACATAGAAAAAATTCCTAAGAATTAAAATCCTCCAAAATTACTGTGAGAATCTTTTTTTTTAGATGTACTGTGAGAATCTTTTGATTCAAAGAAGCCATTATTTTTTACATATCCCGTCACAACCTCTTCGTCACTCTCTTGGGTCGCGAGTGAGTCAGGCGCCAGAAACCGTCAGCAGAAGGCAGAGGAGACGCAAGTGCTTTGAACGACCGTATGAGGTTGACACAGCACATCAAGGTTTCTCTTATCACGCCACAAAACAGGATAGCGTAGCTGAGCACCGATAATAATAATTAAATAAAAAACGCAACACGGTCTTCAAAACGAAATTGACAACTCTCTCTCAAAAAAGAAAACCGAATTTGACAACTGCAGCTCATCACGGATAATAGGCCAGAACGGTCTCCTTCACCGGTCGCCACCCATCACGCGCGACAAAAGAAAAGAGAAACTTTATTATTTTCATTCAAGAAAGAAAAAAGAAAAGAAAATTGTCACGAGGTTAAGGCTACTCCTATTTATCTTTGTCGGCCAATAACACGTCTCCTGTGGGCCTCTTGGTGGGGCGTCGCACGTCCAGGTGGCGGCCAAGCGTCGCGGCGGCACGTCGCCCGCGGTTCCCCGCAAACCACATGATTGATCCCATTCATTCACGGACCGAAAACGATCCCGAATCCCTGGCGACCACATGAAAATCAATCAGGATCGCCACGCGTCCCGCAACAGCCCGGCCCGCGCAGACAGGTCGCCATCGTCGCCCCTGGACCAGTTGCTTGCCTGCCCCTCCCCCCTCCCTCCCCCGTCCGCCATTGGTCGTCGCCATTTTCCAATCCCGCTATTAAACTCGTTCCCCTCCCAACAACCCGCAGAGCGCAGGCAGGCACGCATCTTCTAACCCCGCCCTCTGCCGCCGCTGCTGGCTTTCCTTCCTGCGGGCGAGGATCATCCCTGATCCCAACGGGGCTCGCTCCCCGCCTCCTCCCTGCGTACGTGCCCGCCCCCCTCGCCTCAATCGCCGATTGCTTGCTGCTCCCGCGTTCCGTTGGGCGCTTGGGCCGCTTTGCGTGCTGTTTGCGCCTTCCTTTTTTTGGTTTCTGGTGGTAGTTGGGATGCAGGATTCGTGCTCGGACATGGCCACGCCCCCTGTTCTTGGCATGGCCTAGTAGGTATCAAGTTCTTGGTGTTCAGGTCTTGTGCCTTCATAGCATTCCCCCTGAGCTTAGTTGGATTCGTTTCAGGTGCTGCGTTGATTAGGGGTCCTGGATGGTGGCTGGGTTGGGTATTGATCTGTGTCTGTATGTAGCAGAAGATCCAGGAGAAGTTTTCTGTCGGATTAGTTTTACACTGAATTTTCAGATGACTGAGTTTAAGATAGAGAATTTGGTAAAGCTTTAATCCTAGAGGAATGTCTACCGTGTACCATTCTCTTCACTTCTTATCTTCTTTTTGTATACAGCATCATTCAAGGAAACCATGTTTATTTTACATAAATAACGCAGCAGAAGAGTTGCTGCTGTGGAGTATTGAGCAGGAAACTGTTCAGATCTACAAAAGAGGCTAGGAGAAAAACCAAGAAAAATATAAAGGGAGAACCAAGTCAAATCAGGGAACTAGACAGTCCTTAAGCAGACTTAGCACCAGTCAAGATCTCAGAATCTTTCTAGGCCACTTCAGATTCTCACCTCCTCCTTCAATTCAGAATTCAGAAACTATAATTGCTCTGTTTTTTATTTGCCGATAAAAAATGCGCACGCTATCATCTCAATGGAACTATTCACCGCCTTCTTGACCTGGTTGACCATCTGTCCTTTGCACTTTCTCATCGATATAGCATCCGGTGTGTTGTGTTTAGGCTAGTCCGGCATGTCATTGCTCGCCAAACTGAATGTGGGTGGGAGCAGCGTCAGTAAACGAGGTCTAGCATGACATTGCTCTTATCCTGATAGCACTGAACTGCGTTGTTGCATTGGATTGTGTAGAGTCATTGATGTATGTTTATCCACCATTAACGAACAAACACTAGGGGCAAATTTACCTTTAATAATTTCTTAATATATGCATTAAATCGTACCTCTTATGATTTTGGCATCTCTAAGTATGTTTTTATTGTTTGTGCGTACTATTTGCAGCTGGAGGTGAAATAAGCAAATATTTTCCTGACGTCAAGTTTGCTACAGACTGGCCTTTCCTTGGCTGAATCGGCACACACTACCAACATGGAAACATACACCACAGATGATGCGCTTACAGCCATGGGATTTGGAAAATTGCAAGGACTTGTTCTTGTTTATGCAGGCATGGGTTGGGTTGCAGAAGCCATGGAGGTCATGCTACTGTCCTTTGTTGGACCATTGATTCGGGAGGAATGGAAAATCTCTGCCCAAGATGAGAGTTTACTCTCAAGTGTAGTGTTTTTGGGCATGTTAATTGGAGCATGTGGTTGGGGATACGTGTCTGACAAATATGGGCGAAGGTAAGGATTTACTTGTACATGCACTGATGTGTTTCGCTTTTCTAGAAGAATTTTTATTTTTATTTTTGACAAAGTTATGACCGTCTCTGTTATGAATTTGAATCTCATATTCCTGATGTACGATTATGCAACTTTGGCACGTCCGGTGTGTTTTGGAATTGTAAACATAATTTCAATACTATACATTGCGGACAGGTTTATAGTTGCAAACATACAATGTACCAAATATAATCCCTGAACAAAACTTGTATTTTTCTTGTTTCAGGACTGGTTTACTGCTTTCAACTCTGTTTACTACTGGAATGGGTTTCCTAAGTGCTTTGTCTCCAAACTATTTATGTTTGATGGCTCTTCGCTTTCTCGTTGGCGTAGGATTGGGTGGCAGCCATGTGTATTCATCTTGGTTTTTGGAGTTTGTTCCTGCGCAAAATCGTGGCTTTTGGATGATTATTTTTTCCTTTTTTTGGACTATTGGCACAGTCTTGGAAGCTTCACTTGCATGGGTATCGGACTGATACTTTCTGATTTATATTTATATTTTGACCAAGTAATGAAGTCTTACAAAATTTTGTTCCTATTGCAGATTGTCGTATCAACATTGACTTGGAGGTGGTTGCTAGCATTGACTGCCATCCCTTGCTTTCTCTTGCTCCCTTTCTTTGGAATTACACCTGAATCGCCACGCTATCTGTGTGCGCAAAATAGAATATCTGATGCAACACTTGTCCTGGAGAGAATCGCCGAGACAAACCAAGCAACTCTTCCTCCTGGAGTTCTCGTATACCCTCGAGACGGTGAAGTTGATCATAGTACTCTTACCTCTGAGGCAGATCATCTTCTTCCACTCAGAGAGAAGGACTGCACAGATGATGATGTCATAAGCCCCAAATCTGGTAGTGCTGCTGCATTGCGCAGTCTACTGTCACGGAAATTGCGTAGATCAACTCTTCTACTTTGGTTTGTTTTCTACGCAAATTCCTTTGCTTATTATGGACTAGTCTTGCTGACCGCGCAACTGAGCAATGCAAATAGAAGCTGCGCATCTGGGCTGAAATATGTGAAGAGTGAAACAGATGCCAGCCTTTACAAAGATACATTTGTCACTAGTCTTGCAGGTAGCATTCAGTAGCCCGTTTCTTCACCCAGTCTGACTGGCTGTAGAATATGTCACTAACTCATCATTCTACTGCTCTACCAGAGATTCCGGGTCTAATTGCATCTGCTCTTCTTGTTGAATGGTTTGGCCGAAAAGCTACAATGTGGTGCTTGCTCTTCACATGCTGTGGTTTCCTTGGCCCACTTGTGTTTTATCAGAGTGAGCTATGGACAACTGGCCTTCTATTTGGTGCTCGTGCTTGTGCCATGGGTAGCTACACAGTTGTATGTTTATATGCCCCAGAGGTTCGTATCTTTTTCTCATGGCATGCAGTAAATGTGTTTCTTCGTGTCACAGCATAGTGAGTTTAATGTGTTGAAAGTACTGCCTGGTAGGCCTATAAGTTGCAATTTCAACATTATATCCATCGATTTGGCTAGGTACTTAAAATGGTATTTTGTTTCCTGAATATTTTAAAAAAATTATGTCTGCATTACATTTCATGATGAAGATATATGTAAGTAAACTGGTGCGAGTATGACCTAAACGAATAAAACATACTACTGCATCCTTCTTATTAATTTTATTCAGTAATGTTTTCTTGTCACACTGTCATATTATGACCATTGTGACTTTTTTATGTATTGAATTACATGAAGGGGGTATCTTTAGACAGGACCTATGCAAGGCCTTTTTGTATCTATGATCTCCACATCAAGCTCTTGCAAAGCGATGGACTTCTCTAAGACAGAAGAGAAGCAAGCAACCGACTGATATAAGCACGGTCACAAGAATATTTTACTTGCTAGAGCATCCACTTATTAGTGTCATTGATTTGCATTTGTTAATTTTGTGTTTGTTATTGGGTTTACAAGGTGTTCACCACATAATTTTGTGCTTCGAAATTTCTTGAGGACCCTAGCATCGTGTAGGTTTACATTGGTTTATAGGTAATCCAATGCAGTGATAAAGGATTCTCCTTTCATCATTGTTGTACTTGTCCTGCTTATTTAAATCATAAATTAAATCTGTTAACTACTGTCCAGTCAGAGTGTACCCAGGATGTAAACAAACGGACATCCTGCTTCATAGATAACTTGGCTAAATGAAGTCTACCGATTCTGATCCATTTTCCTGATGAAAAACCAACTTAGTTGTGGCATGTGGTATTCCCCGTCTTAGGGTCTTGTTTATACTCTTAGCTGGGAACACTTAGAATGATACATAGTTATTGCAGCATTTTACCCAAAACAGTCTTGTAGAGCAGTTGTCAATAGATATTTCGCTGAAGGAGTTTTGTTTTCCTACGAACTAACTTATTCTCTTGTCCTTCTAGGTATACCCGACGTCGGTGCGCTCGACCGGGGTTGGAATCGCGACTGCCATGGGCAGAGTTGGTGGAATTATTTGCCCCCTTGTAGCCGTTGGAATGCTGAGAAGCTGCCATCAGATGGAAGCCATCATTGTGTTTGAGGTGGTGTTATTCCTTGCTGCAATTGCCTGCATGCTCTTCCCTTTTGAGACCAAGGGCCGCGCAATGAACTGATGATGGTCATGGTGTAAACAAGCAAAAACACTTGGACCATAAAATTCGTCATGCTGCTATGCGTGAATGTTTATATACAAACTGTTATATGTCTAGTATTTTAGTGGACATGACGATGAAGATTCCTCGAAATTCATTTCGGGGTTTCGGATGTTATTGGACATCATTTTGTAAAGTCCTCACTCCTTGAGACTGTAAGTAGGAGTATGGTATGGTATGTATGTATAAATTCTTTGAACGTGATTAAGTGTCTGCAACAGGCATTTCTACCAGTAACTTTTGCTGAATTCTCATGTTGATTTGGTCCCCAGTCGAAGTTAGAGTTGCAAGTTGTAACCCCTTGTGTGTGGTTATGGAATTGTTAGGTTGCTTGCATCATACATGGTTGTTAAACTAGACTTGCATTTTAGTGAACCTTATAATTACATATTTTTGCTAAAAAGCTAGATTGAAATAAAATCTCTTACTAGCGGTCTATTCATCTCAGTGCTATAGTCGACGCTCCTGATCCTAGAAACGATTGGGGTTTTGTTTAAACTACTCCCTCCGTTCACTATTTTAAGTTGTTTTTGGGTATTTCAATATAGACTACATACGGACTGTAATAAGTGAACAAATTGAAGAGGATTTGTAGCATCAGGGTGATCCACCCCCCTATATGAACATCAAGTTAAAAAAATACCGAGAATTTTGAAAAAGAAAAACTGGAATTTGGAGATACCAAACTTGGGTCTGATCTACTTTTATGTGAAATTTGGTGAAAAATACCATGAAACGTATCTGTGGCAAAGAAGACAAAAAATCATATGTATAAAAAAATTGTTTGGATGGATTTTAGTTTGACTGTATTTTTTCGTTGCGGATTTTAGTTTGGACTGTGTTTTGAAGTTAATATTTGCTTATGGATATGGAAAACCCAGGAGCTGCTGTGTAATTCCATGAACAAATACACTAAAACTTATCTACATACATTAGATTTAGAAACATTTAGAACATCTTATAATAATGAAGGGCGGGAGTACTAATTAAACACATTAAGCTACACATAAAGGGCGGCCAACCAGCTATGCCACGTGGCGCAAACTGGTTGGCCGTGATGAGTAATCTTTTGGAATATTTTCTAGATGAAGGTGTGGATTATTTTTTGAATATATTATTTCCTTTTTAGATGAAGGGAGGACCTTTGGTATTTTTAGAACTCGCTGGTATGCTGCGGTGGTGATTTTTTTCTTTTTCTATTTTACTTCTTTTTGTAGATGAAGGTAATGATTTTTTTTCTGAGATGTTTTCTTAGACGGAGATAAGGACTCTATGTATTTTTTTAAATGAAAATATGTGCATAACTTCCTCTCTAGCGGGGCCACAGGGTGACGCCCCAACCACTAGTTAAGTGTCAAATGGTACCTGGAGAGAGGGCGGGAGAACCAAGGCACAGGACAGAGGACGAAAAGCAAAAGAGAATATGCTCGATGTTTTCAGTGAGGCAACATGTAGCACGCCTCACATTTTTTTTTTCGAAACGGAGGCATAAGATTTGCCTCATCTATTAAATAAGGAGAGAATAGAGTTTAGAGAATTACAACACACCCACACTTTCGACATGACAATTACTCGCCCAGAAAAAAATTCCCTAATTTCTTTGCGCCCGCGGCCATCCAAAGCTTGGCCTCGTCGACGATGGCGGTGAGTAGGACGGTCGGTGGTGCACTTTTGTGGCGGAACACACGTGCATTTCTTTCATTCCAGATGGTCCAAGAGACGAGCATGGTGAGGGAGGCCATAGCTTGCCGGTTAGGGTTGCGGTTGTCGATTCTCTTGTCCCACCACTGGTAGACGGAGTCGTCCATGAGCCAATCGGAAGTATCCATGTGCGCAAGACCTAGTTTCTCAATAAGAGACTTCCATAGCCGAATCGTGTAGCGGCACTTGAAGAAAAGGTGGGCTCATGATTCTTGCTCCCTATTGCAGAGCTTGCAAAGGCCACAATTTGGCCAACCTCGACGCTCCAAGCGATCGGCGGTCCATAATTATGTAATTAAGCATATCCTTGGCAGGCATGTTGTCCTACAAAACGCCACTCTATCTCTCTCTCTCTCTGCTGTCCATACCGCTTACATCAATGTGAGGCGTGCTAGATAGATGCCTCCTGCCCGGCCGGTAGTTGAGAGTGGCGTATGCAGAGAGCGAGCGAGCGAGCATGGGTCCCGGACCAAAGCACGGTCGCAGACGTCGTCGTCAGTCAGGCTTGTTTGTTCCTTCACTCCACCAAACACCAGAAATCTGTTGCCGCCGCCTGCCGCTTATTATGGTGCCATGGAACGAAGCAAACCAATCAATCACAGCCACAAGGTCGTTCCCGGTCCTCCTCCACCGCCGCCGGCCGCCGGCCGCCGCCTATGCTTTCCTCTCCCGGGAACCCCCATCCACGGTTCGCTCCCTCTGACGACCCCTTGCTGTTAAATTTTTGATTGGCTCCCAACTCCTCCATCTCTATGCTAATCTTTATAAGTGTGTGAGAGTTTCAGACTTTCAGTCACATACTTTTTGTACGGTGGTGGGTTTGTTCTTACAGCAGGCCGGATCAGCTCACAGCTGAATATATGGTACTCCCTTCGACCAAAGTTGTACTAGAGCTGCAGCAATTAATTTGGGTCGGAGGGAGTACCTACTTCGGAGTCGAACCCTCTCGTTGGCCTTCAGGCTTCAGCACAAGAAACAGCTAGCCTTTATGCATACAGCATACTAGTAACAACTACATTCAGTTTAGGCTTCAGTTTAGTTTACGTGCCTGCACACTCTGAGTCTGACAAGAATGAGTTTATCATTTCATTCGCTTTGCAATCTGTCCTGCGATGGAGGAAGACCATGATGCTCTTGGCATTCTAGATTCATCACTGTACGCTTCATCTTGCACAAACATGCTTTTTTGCCTTTCAGGTCTGAACTCTTAATGTATACAGCAAGTCATATTGGCTATACTTTTGGCCTCTACGAATGATTTTATTCTGCATGGGGCATACTGAAGATACTTATTTGACCAAAAGTTTGTTCGAGACTTGCCTGTGATACTGGTGTTCAAGCAAAAGACTCCGACTGTCTGACAGCATGGAAACATACACCACGGATGACGCGCTTTCGGCCATGGGGTTTGGCAAATTCCAGGCGCTTGTTCTTGCTTATGCAGGCATGGGTTGGGTCGTAGAAGCCATGGAGCTCAACCTACTGTCATTTGTCGGACCGTTGGTTCGGGAGGAGTGGCAAGTCTCTGCCCAAGATGAGAGCCTACTCTCAAGTGTGGTCTTTGCCGGCATGCTAACCGGCTCACTTGCTTGGGGCTTTGTTTCTGACAGATATGGTAGAAGGTATGAAGCACTTCCCTGTTTCAATTTTTTCAGTACAGGCATTTCTGAATATGATTTTTTGTAAAGGCAAAGCCTGTGATTTTTCTTGTTTCAGGACCGTTTTGCTGTTTTCAGCTCTGTTTACTAGCGGAATGGGCTTCTTAAGTGCCTGGTCTCCCAACTATTTGTGCTTGATGGCTCTTCGGTTTCTCGTCGGCGTAGGAGTGGGAGGCGGGCATGTGTTCTCATCTTGGTTTTTGGAGTTTGTTCCTGCGCAAAATCGCGGCACTTGCGTAGTTCTTTTTTCGCTTTTTTGGACTATCGGTACTATCTTGGAGGCTTCACTTGCATGGGTATGGCAGCTTTCTTTTGTGGCCCTTTAGTGTTGTGAATTATACATGTCACATTTTCATTCTAAATTTTTTTCCCTGATGCATTTTATAGGTAGAAATAGAAAAAAAATATAGCGTCACAACAAATATTAAGTATGTAGAGATATAAGCAAGGATATAAGAACATGACAAATCAAGGTTTCTGAAACCACAAGTATAGATAAAGAGACGCCACAAATACTAAGTAGTGTGTCAACTGAAAGAAACATCTCTGTTTGTTCAGGTCGGGTGCTTACAATTGTATGTAGAAGTGAATTTGTGTTGGTTTCTTCATAGTCTTGAAATCCATTCCTTCCCAAGTGTATGGAATTATTATTATGTCAAGAAATGATATTGATATATTTGTCATCAGAAGTACTTTTAGATAATTAAATATTCCTATAACGTGTAATAATAAAAATTATGGTTAATAGTATGTATTACAGACCATCTCTATTATCTGAATTGACAAGTACTCCCTCTGTCCCATAATGTAAGACGTTTTTTGACACTAGTGTAGTGTCATAAAATGTCTTATATTATGGGACGGAGAGAGTAAAAATGAATGGGAATGACGAATATTCCGTAGGAATACTTGTGATTTCATCTTGTGCTATCTCGTATCAAACTTTTACCTTCACAGCTCAACTTTGATTTTCTCAGAAAAAACTTTGATTTTCTGCATGAAGTTTAAAATAACTGATGCTCAGTTAAACTTTGGACTGATGCATTTACGACATTTTATTTGTGACTTATGTTTATAGAATTTTATACAGTTCTGAGAAATGCTATTCGACTGTGGTTTGGTCGCAGGTTGTCATATCGGCATTGAATTGGCGGTGGTTGCTAGTATTGACCTCCATTCCATGCTTCCTCTTGCTTCCATTCTTTCGAATAATACCTGAATCACCACGCTATCTTTGTGCACAAAATAGAATGTCAGACGCTACACTTGTCCTGGAGAGTGTCTCTATGATAAACCAAGAAGCTCTTCCTCCTGGAGTTCTCACATACCACCGTGAAAGTAAAGTTGGCACTCTTACATCTGAGACCGAAATAGATCATCTTCTTCCAGTCAGAGAGACAGAATGCAAAGCTAACAATGCCTTGAGCTTCAAATCTGGCGCCGCTGCGGCACTGCGAAGACTATTGTCACCAGCATTGCGCAGATCAACTCTTCTTCTTTGGTTTGTTTACTTTGCAAATTCCTTTGCTTATTATGGGGTAGTCTTGCTGACATCTCAGCTGAGCGATGCCAATACAAACTGCCCATCTGGGCTGACAAACT